AGTGCAGAATGGTGGACGCAGCGGAAGAGCTCACAGCCTGGCGCAAAGTCCTGCAAAGCCAGCTGAAGGAAGCCACTAACCTCCCTAAACCTACTTTATTGTAGGGCCCCTATATTTCCATACTAGGGATTACAATAAGAACCTACAAAAAATAGGGTTTGGAATAAGAACCTCAGAAACGAGGAGTTTGGAGTATTTTCCCAGCAAAATTTGCCCTGGCGCCTCGGGGTGGGGGTTGAGGGGTTAGGGTTGAGGGTTATATAGTGTTTAGAGTTTAGGGGTTGGGGTTGAGGGTCATATAGTGTTTAGGTTTTAGGGTTTGGGGCAGAGGGTTGTGTAGTGTTTAGGCTTTAGGTGTTGGGGTTGAGGGTCATATAGTGTTTAGGGCTTAGGGAGGGGTTTCGGATCGATTAGAGTTCAGGGCTTAGGGCGAGCCAGGCATCAGCTCTTTGCGCTCCATGGCTCGATGGAGTTCCTACTGCCCCCGACGCGGCTGGCAGAGTTCTTGGCCTCAGTTCTTCAAAGTATGTACAGCATTTATCCCAAAGGGGGTACAAGAGAGTTTACACCCCCGAAGTAGGTAGTATATTTGTAGTGTTTAGACCCAGTTGCCCAAGTAGGTACTAGAGCTCTGGAGTTTAGACCGCAATAAAGTAGGTACGGCATTTATGGAGTGTAGAGCCCCAAGTGGGTACTATTCTTTTACTTGCAGGGGTAGGGAGGGGGTTCCGAGTCCCAGCTTTCGAGGCTTAGGGCTTTAGTAGGGTTTAGGGTTTAGGGTTTAGGGTTTAGGGGTTTAGGGTTTAGGGTTTAGGGTTTAGGGGTTTAGGGTTTAGGGTTTAGTATTTGAGGCTTTCGGGATTTGGAGGTAGTTATTATAAGTCTAGGGCGAGGATCTCGCGTTAGGGCTCAAGGGTTCAGTAGTTTGGGGTTTGGGGGAAAAAGACGCTAAATCTGCAGCGTGACTAAAGGCAATATGGATCTCTGCCATACTCGCCACATTGCTTTGTTTGTGTGTTTGTGTGTTCACCAATAATTCAACCGAAATGACAGTGCAATGTATGACATTGCAACCACTATCTGGACCTCTGGTGCTAATCATCCTCATGTTACAGTGCTTTGCGAAACTACTTTTTTGGTTCACCTGCAGCCTATGACTGTCTTGGTAAAGGATCCTTGCCAGGGGCCTTAACAATTAGAATAGGGTTTGGGAGTATATTTTACTATATTACCACTATAATAATGAACCCCCCAAACCCTATTCTTATAATTACAGCCCCTATATTAGAAGCTTGAACCCGCAACCCACCCGCAGCCGAGGCTTCAGGTGATGCTCTTGCGCGTCACACAACAGATGTATTGTCCAAGTCTCAGCATGAGCTGGGAATACAAGACCCTGACCACGAAACCCTCATTCATTGACTCTAAACCCCAAGCCCTAACACACACACACACACACACACACACACACACACACACACACACACACACACGCACACCAAGAATAATTAGCATATGTACTCTATGCTTATATATATATATATATAATATACAGGTGTATATGTATATATATATATATATATATGTATACATATATTTAAATATCTATATATATATATATATATATATGCTCACCCCCCCCCCCGTTGACAGACCGCGGGTCTAAAAAACACCGTGCACGACGATATTCTATGAAGCAAAACCTTTACATGAGGTACATAGTATAGCACCAGACGTGCGGCACATGAGTTACGTAACAGTCTTGTGGTAGTATCGGTATTAGGGTGAGTATTATTATTAATATTAGTACTATTGTTTGCTGTAAGTATACGTATCAATATTGCCAACTATAAATTAGTGTTAGTGCTCATGTTCGTGTTAGAGTTAGCGCTAGTGCCAGTGTCAATGTCAGTAATACAGCACCACTGCTACGAGTAGTATCAGTATCAGTCTTAATGCTGGGTTTAACAGCAGCTTATATTCGCAGAAGTGCTAGTATTAGTATCAATATTAGAACTAGTTAGTTTGGATATGTTAGTATATTGATAGTCTCGTATATTAGCAGATGAGTATATCAGTACATCAATGTATTCGAACAGTAAAATATTTGCATACTTGTATACTAGTATATTTTACATGTTAGTACAACTGGTGCATGAATACACTACTATACTGCTGTACTAGCTTACTAGTATATTGACATACCAGTATATTCGAACGTTAGCATATTAGTGTACGAGTATGTGTACTATATGACTGTTTTATCTAATCATTTATAAGTATATCAGTATGTTGGCATATTGGTATACGAACTTGTCATGTCGGTATTCTTGCATAGTGCAGTAGCCGTATATGAGTACAGTCACATATTCGTGTAGTATACTCATACAACAACGAGAGGTATATTGATACATTGGTATATGGGCATATGCCTATGCCAAAGCATTAATACATGAATGCACTGACGTATATATCTGTATCTTAAGATAGTGGTATGTATTTTATGTACATTAGTATATGCAGGTGTCTATTAGTAATGATATTAGTCATCATATCAATATGAATATACTATTGGTGTTCGTAGCAGTATTAATGTCAATATTATTAGAAATAGGACTATTTATACTCGTAATAGCCATAATATGAGTGCTCATGCTGGTAATACTAGTGGCATTCTTGAATATTCAGCAGATTATCAAAGTCCGTACTAGTGTTGGTGATAGCATCACTGTTAACGCACAAGAGTTTACGTACTCGTATTCGTAGGAGTATCAATAGCTATGTAAATATTGATGTTAGTATAAATTTTGTGTGAAGTATTAGCAGTAGTGTTAGCTGTATTTTATGTACATTAGTATAAGCAGGTGTCCATTAGTAATGATATTAGTTTTCATATCAATATGAATATACTATTGGTATTCGTAGCAGTATTAATGTCAATATTATTAGAAATAGGACTATTTATACTCGTAATAGCCATAATATGGGTGTTCATGCTGGTAATACTAGTGGCATTCTTGAATATTCAGCAGATTATCAAAGTCCGTATTAGTGTTGGTGATAGCACTACTGTTAACGCACAAGAGTTTACGTATTCGTATTCGTAGGAGTATCAATAGCTATGTAAATATTGATGTTAGTATAAATTTTGTGTTAAGTATTAGCAGTAGTGTTAGCGTTAGTACTATAATATTATTGATGATATACATTCGAAAGAATGTTTGTAGTATTATTACTCTTGATCACGTGAAATTCTAACAGTTGAATACATGAGTGAGTTAAAGGATTTGTATTTTAATATGGTGGTATGCATGTTTATGTACATTAGTACATACAGGTGTGTGTTAGTATTGGTATTAATATACATTATTATCAATATGAATATGGTTATTGATATGCGTAGGAGTAATAAGAGCAATACTAATCAATCTTAGTATTTGTGTTATGCATATTCGTACTAAGCTTTATAGAAGTGTAATATTAGTAGTAATGCTGGTATTAGCTTGAGCATTCAACAAATGATCACTGTCAGTATTTCCAATGGCAATACTATATGTAGGAGTATCAATACATATATGTATATACAGATAGACAGGTAGATTGAGAGATATTCGTTTAAATATGGGCATGAGTATTGACAGCCCTTGCCTTTGCAAGTAAGTCGTGCATGGTCTGTCATCGGATGGGTCACAATCAGCCCTCCTGAGAATCAATTCCAAGGTCCAGAGATTCCAAAATTTCCAAAAGTTCCAAAACTTCCAAAATTTCCGAAATTTCCAAAATTTCCAAAATTTCCAAAATTTCCAAAATTTCCAAAATTTCCAAAATTTCCAAAATTTCCGAAATTTCCAAAATTTCCAAAATTTCCAAAAAGTCCGCCCTTATGTTTTGGAAAAATCCTGTCCACTAGGTCGGGCCGTTTTGGAAATTTTGGAAATTTTGGAAATTTTGGAAATTTTGGAAATTTTGGAAATTTCGGAAATTTTGGAAATTTTGGAAATTTTGGAAATTTTGGAAATTTTGGAAATCCGGAAAGTTAAGGGGGAGAATTTTGGAAATTTTGGAAATTTTGGAATTGAGTTTTTGAAAGCTGAGTACCCCCTCCCCCGATCACAGACCATGCACTACGACTGAGTTGAAAGGGCATGGTCTGTCAACGAGTCTTTTGGTGGTTCCACAGATACGTTCGGAGGGCTCAAACTCGATACCCCGGAAAAAGCACGAACACACCGGTGGGAGCGATGTTTTGAAGGGGATGGTCTGTCAACGGGGGGGGGGTGACCATATATATATATATGTGTGTATATATATATATATAGATATTCACGTCCAAAATACATATACATGCATAATTATGTGTATATAGAAAGACACGTATGCATATGTATCTATACATATATGTATATGTATGTGTATATGTATATGTACATATATGTATATATATAGAGAGAGAGAGATACGTGTATACGAAACTCACTGGTACAACGACAATAGATCTTCGTAGGCTCCCGGATCTGCCGCACAGCAGACAGCAAAAAGCCGAGGCAGAAACTCGCCCCAAAGCCTTGCTGAGCCTAAGGCTTTAGGCTTTAGGGTTTATGTATCAGGGTTCAGGGTTTAGGGTTTCGGGTAAAGGGGTTTAGAGTTCAGGCTTCGGGGTTTGGGATTTATAGGGTTATCGGAGTTCGTAAGTGAGAATGGTGTTTCGGAGATCAGGAGGTCGGGTTGCAAGCGCATCTGTGTGACGTGTGTGCTGCCATGTTGCTAGGGTTTAGGGGGTTGGGGTTTGAGGTTTACGGGTTTAGCTTTGAGGGGTTCACCCAAACCCCCCAAAAGTAGGTAAAATAATGGCCCAATGCTTATAAAAGTACACACTTTCGGGGTCTGGGTAGGGGGTTGCCAACGCATGAGGCATGGTCCGATGCAGAATTTTGCAGCTACAGTGCCCTAAAAGCTTGCAACGTCAGCGCGTCCTGGTCCTCACTCACCGCGGTGCCTAGATGTCTTACATCGTGAGATTCTGGGATCCATCAGATTTTTGCTTCCCCTGCCGGACCGTCCCTTGTCCGGACTTCTTAAAGAAGGCTGGAGTCGAAGAAGCAGACTGGACCGAGTTGCTGGGCTCCTTGCGTTCCTGCAGGAGTCTGCGGGAGAACCCCTTAGCCTTATTCTTCTATGTTTTGTGTCATCTACTTTGGCTGGGAGCTGCCATTCATGGAGCGAATCATCGCAAGATCGTGGAAGTAATCATGCAGGCCGAAGACACCTTCAACCAGAAGTGGTCAAAGAAGCTCGGCCTTTTCGTATCTAGGTATGCCGGCAGTATGTTTTTGTCTGTATAACTTCCGCTTAACCCTCAGCCCTACACCCTAACCGCCAAACTTTGGGGGAGTGGCTTCCTCTTAACCCTGAGCCCTCAGCCCTAAACCCTGGACCCTCCACACGACATGCAGACGAGGTATTTGTGGATTGGCCGAGCGGCGAGTTGGTCTTCCACCCACCCCCTGCAGAAACGGCTGCTCCAGTGAGCGTGGGTGCCAGCCAACCTCCGCAAGAGAAGTCTTGGTACCAAGCCCTGGCCGAGACCCTTGGGTTGGAAATTATAACGGTTTAGGGTGTTTAGGGTTTAGGGTTGATATAGTATTCCTAGACCCTGAAGAACTTACCTTTTTAAGGCTCCTTATTATGGTTTCCATATAGTAGTCCTTCAAAAGGGAGGTTATTTGGGGTTAAGGTTGGGTTTTGTGTACTGGAATAAAGTACAATTCTATGGTGTATTAATCACATGTAATATCGTATGCTGGGCAATACTAAGGAATTTTCCACGGTGCTTTAGTATTTTACATCATAGTAAAATACACAAACGTTTTGTGACCTAATGTAACATGATTTTACCATAGCATAATTGGTAGAACATAGTGTTACAAAATACACCCTAGCAGCAGATGGCATCAAATGTTTCACAGCGCAACACAGCACGATACATCACAGTATCATCTAACAGAATAAATCATGGTGTGGCATGATTACAAATGAAATGTTCCCATATACTATATCACAACCTGATAAAACTATAGTATAGTGGATATGGCACAAAATATCATAGTAGAATGCAATACAATAGACAGTACCTCACCAAAGAAAAGGAGGCAGTACCAATAACGCATTAGACCGGTCCAAGGCGGGTTTGGCACCTTATGGCAGTAGATTGTGACACGTTGTAACAGATAGAGGTACATGTTAGTTCTAATGTACTGAACGATAGTTTATGTTGTTATGCAGTAGCTATACTATGCATCGATTTGGGACGGTGTCTTGATTTTCTTTGTTTGATATAGCCCTCATTAAGAATGAGTTTTGGGGTCGATTGAAATCGACACCTAGTATGAGCATAAGGGGGTTACATCTTCGCAGCCCGCCATTGCTCTGAGCCCGGGTCTGTTCTACAAAAGTTTAGTGGCATAGCGGTTTAGGGTTTTGGGGTTTAGGATTTGGGGTTTTTGGCCAGAACGCAAGCACATGTCGGGATTGTAGGTTTTGGTGACATATCTTGGTATGCAGCCGTTGCTGAGATTCGGTGTTGGAGTTCGGCGGCCGGTACTTCTAAGACGTCTATGCATCTATGAGTTTGTCTAGCAAGCAGCTGCGTTTATTTGTACATCATATCTTCCCTCAGCCGCTAAGCCCTAAGTCCAGGTAGACGGACCGAGCCAGACCAGGGTAGAGAGTGTGTGAGAGAGATGCGGAACCTGAAGCAAATCCTGCAGTCGACAATCCCTAGTAGTAGAGTAGGTAACCTTTAACCTTTTTTGGGTAGTATAGTCCCTGTATAATCCCTCTAGAACCAAAAAAGTTAACCTTAAGTTCCCCATGATACCCGACAAGTCGGAATCACTGATTGCCAGGAAAGGCATGGACGCACTTGAGCAGGCGAAACATGCAGTGGGCCTTGGGGCAGGCGCAGGAAATCCTGCTGTAACTGAGCTTTGGAGTACCATACTTTAATGCCTTTTTCTTGAAGGAACCATTATGAAATGCATGTTTATACTTTTTCTTAAAGGAGCCATTATGAAACGAATGTTTATACTTGTTTTCTTGAAGGAACCATTATGAAACGAATGTATATGTATTCTTTTAAAGGAACCATTATGATATAAAAACTTATCCCCGGTTACTTAAAAGCCCAGGTAAGCCACGGGTAAAAGAAGGGACCCTTACGAAGGACCCCTAGGTATATACCCTTAATATAGCTATTATTTACCCATTATATCGCCCGTTATAGGGTAGGGGTCCTCATTAAGGGTCCGTCCCTTTGAGGTAAGCCACATTCTGAGCTTCCCGGTGCACACCCAGGACCATGCTCACAAGCTCAGTACCGGTAGGTTGCATGGTTCGCCCTAAACCCCCTAAGCCCTAAACTTCCCTAAACCCTAAATATCCCTAAACCCTAAATATCCCTAAAACACCTTAAGCCCTAAACCCTAAACGTCGCTAAACCCTAAACATCCCTAAAAATCCCTAAACCCTAAACCCTAAACCCTAAACATCGCCAGACCCTAAACCCTAAAAATCCCTAAGCCCTAAACCCTAAACTTTCCTAGACCTTCAGTTCGGGGTTTCTTTCGAGCCACCGGCAGGACGATGCGGTGTGTGCCCAAGCTTGTTGCCCGATGCAGCTTGGATTCGACTGAACCCCTCAACCCGAACCCTAAAAATCAAGACGCTGAACCCACCAGAATGCTGTTTGTGTGGAGGGCCGCAAAACGAGTCAGCTCCACTCGAACACATGAACTTAACCACTGAGCCCTAAACACTAAGCCCTAGTGTACCCTGAGTAATACACTGAAGCCCCAAGCGCCCTAAACCTTGTCTAAGCCGACCGAACGTGGGTTTTAGGTTGAGCCTGAAGGGCTTTGACGACCAGAATAAGGATGTTGTGGCTTTGCACACCTAAAGTAAAAGCCAGAAAGTTGGAATATGATTATCCTAAGCCCTTTATGGTAAATTATAGGGTATCCTACCCTGAAACCATATTCCAACTTTCTGGAGTTCCCTTTAAACCCTGAAACCCGAAGCCCTAGACTTCATTCTCCAAACCCTGATCCCAGTCGCAGGAGCCCCCAATGCCCGTTGGGGTTTAGTGTTTAGTGTACAGGGTCGAGGGGTTTATGGGTTTAGGGGTTTAGGGTACAGGGTTTAGGGGTTTAGGGTTGGGTTTAGGGTTTAGGGTACATGGTTTAGTGGTTGAGGGTTGGGTTTAGGGGTTAGGGTTTAGGTTTCAGGGTTTAGGGGTCTTAGTGTGGAAGCCTAACTGATTATCAATGCTCTTCCCAGGGCTTGCTTCGCATAGTTGTTCCAAAATGTACCCCAAACCCCACTGAACTTCTTAAATGGTCCTAGCTATACACCTGCCTATATGTATGTATATATATATATATATATACATATATATATATATATATATTCATATATATATCCATATCTTATACCTATATACATGTACATATAAATACTTATATATATATATATGTGTGTGTGTGTGTATTCGGTTATATATACCGCCCAGATCGTAAGCAGCTCCTATTCGGACTCTGGTGTGCTGCAGAATCCTGTACGGCCTTCGCACTCAACACTTGAGAATGTGTGCTGATATGGCGCAAGATGACTCTCGAAAACCAAGCTGTTGTGTATCTTCCTAGCACCGAAACCCTAAACCCAAACCCCTAAACCTCAAAACCCCAAGACTTGAGGGGGACCCTAGATCCGAACTTTGTTATTGTAGGAACCTGATTAAGAGACCCTGGGACTATAACCCCAAAATAGTAGGATTCATATAAGGGGCCTTAATAAAGGCCCAAGGTTTCTTCACCAGGTTCCTACATTACCCTAAACTGCAGCTCTGGCCCAGCAAGCCTGACCCTGCCGTGGCAACTGAGGATCGACCGCCGATTGCTTCCGATTCCTTACCCGAGTTTCTTGAGTACTGCGGTGGTCGAGAGGTGGGGTTTTATCAAAGACTGGCTGGCAAACCTCAACAATTAAACCTAATACCCTAAACCCCTAATCGCCGAAGCTGCAACTTAGGGCGGACGCAACAAGGAGCTCTAACAAAAAATCCCAAACCTAGAGCCTAAACTCCCTAATCCTCAGCAAATTACCCTTTCTAGACTAGCGGCCGACATGGGTTTGAAAGGAAGGATATGGAGGTATGAAAGAGGACCGTTGGTACTCAACAGCATGTGTATTGGCGTCGCTAGAACACGGGCCCTAGGTCTGTGTGGGAGCAGTTTGTGGGCGGTATTGCGAATGGCATCAATCAACAGTGGAGCGTTTGTCGATGTTCGAGCCTCTTTTCTCTTTACGGTCTTATGTGGCTGCTTGGCCGGCTAGCCTGTATCATGGGCCCAGTCACGCGGAGCGTGCAAGAGTTCAAGGATAACTTCGAGGAGCAGATGGCGTGGCAAGTCAGGTTTGATACGCAAATGTACCGATTCCTGTTCCACCCAGCAGTCGTAGACGAAAGCAGCTTCAACCCTCCGATCGTGAAAGAAGACGAGATCACGCCGGATCTTGAGGCCCAAAAGGATGCTGAACCAGCCCCGATTGTCGTAGTTGGAGTGACTCAGCAGTCGAGTAAGTAACCTTCCAGGACCCTCCTTGTACCCTCAAATAGGGGTATATGGTCCCAAATAAGGGGGATTTAGGGTCTAATAGCGGGTAGATGGAGGGTCTAGGTTTACTTTTCGTTGTAGTATATCTCGTCTAGGGGTTAGCGTTTGTGCTTTAATAAGAAGATGGTCATTTAGCATCTCGGAAGCTGGGCATGCAAGGTGATCAGCAAGCCTGACCAGATCGCTATGGACAGCCAGAAGGGCCCGGAGACAAAGGAGCAGGTCGAGGCCGACACCAACTTCACCAACGAAACAAATGAAACCAACGAAGGCAACTTTGTCATAGTTGGGTAACATTTTACATTTTTTATGGGTACTTACCCAATAAGGAATTACATTTTTCATCCTATCCCAACCATGAGCCAGGCAATGCGACCAATGAGTACAGCAACATCCCTGAGGTCATAACTCGCATCTGATTCCCTAAACCCAAAACCCTAAAACCCTAGACCTTAGACCCCTAAACCCCTAAGGTAGAAGCCAGAAAGTTGGAATATGATTATCCTAAACCCTTTAAGGTAAATTATAGGGGTATCCTAGCCTGAAACCATATTCCAACTTTCTGGCGTTCCCTTTAAACCCGAAACCCTACCTCGCATCTGATTCTCCATGGCCTTATGGGCCTAACTTTCTTGAGTTGGGGAGGCGGGGCGGCTTTTGAGGCGTCGGGCCATTAGGGTCTGCAACGGCCCTAAACCTCACCACACTCAACTCGGAATCCCAAACCCGAAATCCGAATCTCGAAGCCGTAACCTCTCCTCATGGAGCTTTGTTGGATTCTCCAACGAGCTCCAGGCTTGCTCCAGGGTGGAAGGGATTCCCGAGGTCGCCTGGTAGCCGCACGACGGCCTCAAGGGTCCAAAGGACCATCAAATTTTGATACCTTCTAACGTTGCGTACCCGGATTTTTCAACACAAAGCCGACGAGTGCCTCCTTGGCATAAGCAGTCTTTATCACATCTAGATTGAATATCTCAGCTGAGTTGCTGATGGGAATCTGCGCTCACGCCTTTTGAATGTATCGACAGCTTGCAGTCTTGCATCTCTTTGTAACAAGGAATAATCGTTTACAAACTGCCCGGAAATGGCTACTGGGCGTCCTAAGTCCTGACTTCAGAGAGTCGGTGAACCATGAAGCCCTGGAGCAAACACTGTCTCACCGAGCAAATCATTCTCGCACATGTAGTTTTCATCCGGATGTGATTTTCGACGCAGCGCTGACGCAGAAACAGTGGGAGTGGTTTTTGGGTTCAGTGAGTTTGGCTGATGCTTAGCACCAAAAACCTGACGACCCTTATTTCCCAAGGCACAGAACAAGCTCTTCCTGGCAATCCCAATCCCGAACGTGTAAAGCAAAACGAGAGCACTGCCTCAGTGCCAGAAGTAGTCATGTCTGCAACACTGATGCTTGGATTCATGCCATGAAACACCCAACCACATCCAGGCGAGTTCGTGATCACAACCCCCATGGCTGACAAGGCAATAGTCACAGCAAGAACGACGGACCCTATGCTACAGGGGCCTTATTGACTAAAATAGGGTTTTGGGGCTCATTATACTACAAGTATAAGAAGGAACCCCGCAAACAGTACAGGTAATTATTAAGACCCCTATATTAACCTAAACCCATGGAAGTCTTCGGGGGGCATCTGTACTAGACCAACTTGCGCGGAAGCTTGGTCATGTCAGCAGAGCCTTTCAGATTTCAGCAACAAGAGATTGAAGGGTCTAGGGTTTAGGGTTTATAGGGTCTAGGGCTTTCAGCAACGGAAGACTGTCTTGGTCAACTGTCGGGGTGCGGGGGGTTTGGGGTTTAGAGGGGTTTAGGGTTTAGGGTTTGAGGCTTCAGCTAGCGAAGCCCTACCAACTACGACTTGCTGCTTCAGGTTTCTTATTTACGGATGTTTCCTGGAAGGGGGTGCAAGTCCTGGCTTCCTTGACACCCCTCCGAGCCTACGACACGCTACCGTTGCTTTTTCGGTTTTAGGTTCAGACCCCCACGAAAAGCCTCGGCCCCGAATCCCCTCCCTCTCCACCCTCCAACTGCGGTGTTCGAATCCCTGCAACGGTTGATGATATAAATCCTGCATGACCTATAATAAGGAATATACCATAATTCCCATATCTTCCTTATTATGGAAGGATCTTGGGTACCCATAATAAGGAATATAGGAATTATGGTATATGCCTTATTATGGGTCATGCAGGATTTATATCATCAACAGAAGTACTCAGAGTTGAGGTCGATCTCAAGAGCTATAAGGCTTCAGTGCCTGTCACCTCTCACACAAGGGAGTGCAAGATCACTGCAAGAAGGATCCCTTCTTCGACAATCCCGTGTCAATCCCATGGGCTACAAATAGTACCTACTGTGGGGTCTCTAAAGTCTATAAATACTGCCTACTTAGGGCTTTCTGGAGCCCCAGAGAAACCGCAGAAAGAGCGATGTCCCGGCAATAATTTCTTGCAGCGTCTGGAGCCCCTAAACCCTAAACCCTAAACCTGGAGCCCCCAAATCCCAGCTCGCAAGGCCCAAGCAGTCGAGTTTTAGCCTTACGTACGGCTTTCAGCTCTGAATTCGCTAAACTAAAACCCTACTGTCGGGGCCTAAATCATTACCAATACTATTTTGGGAGCTCCGTATTATAAGTATAGTATAAGGGGCGCCAAAACCCTTTTCCAATTAGTAAGGCCCCTATATTACAGCTTCCAGCTCTGAATGTTCTTAACTATAAACCCTCGAAGCCGTCAACGCTCACCTTCCCCTACCACTAAGGCGAAGCATGTGCAGGAGTGGTGCCTTGTGAGAGCCCCAGTTTCGCGGCAGGTGGTCGCTTGCAATTTCGGGGTCTTAATTAATGATTACGTAGAATAGCAGTCTGCACTGTCTAGTGTACAAGTATATGTACTTGTAGTGGGTTTTTCAGGGTTCTACATTACCCGAAGGGTCCAAGTACCTCAGGAGGCAATCAATGTTCAGCAAACTAGGGGGCAAGATGATGCATAATCTTGGTAACCTGGGTCATGTTGACTGCAGGGGGCCAAGATGACGCATCATCTACTATATAATTACCAATACTATTGTGCAGGTTCCTGATTTTCAGTACAGTATAATGGGCTCCAAAAGCCGTATTCTAATTTTATAAGGCTCCCACATTCGCTCATCTTGGTCACCCTGACAGGGTGCCACTTGCGCCACTTTCCTCACTCGGTCTAGGGCCAGATGGCCGAGATTGATTAATACAGGGCCGAAATAAGTAGCAATACTGTTCCCTAAGGGTCCTTACTATGATTATATTTAATAATACTACAAAACACTATTCACGGGCTCTCGCTTCCCGGAACACTGTCCTATTGGCCCAAACCCAAGCTCCTAATCATTTGGCCCTTTCATAGAATCTTGCTAAAACCTTGTATAACCCTAAACCCCTAAACCCCTAAACCCCAAACCCTAAACTATACTATGAAAGGAGTGCCAGCGCACTTCAAAAAAAACCATAGTATAGAACCCTTATGTACAGAATCGTAATCATAGAAACCCGGGAGTCCTCCTCAAGAATCGTTTGCGAAAGTGATCTTTATTAGACGTTATCGATTTAAATGAGCTCTACAAGGGGTGTCTACGGCGATTCCACAATTTTTCAGGGTCATGTTGTCTATTTGTAGCCATAAGAAGGAGCCCCGAGGCAGGGTGTTCTTAGTTCACCCAAACTAACAAGACCCAAAACTTGAGATTTGCGTATGGGCAGCGGTTTTTTCGATGCTGAGATCGAACTGATCGTATAGTAGCTTGTTTAGAACATCCACAGAAGCCTATAATTTAGAACCTGTAGCTTTGTTTTGAAAAGCCACCCAAAGCCTTACAGCTACTTTCTTCACCTTACGAAGCCCGAGAGAACCCTCATATAAAAAACTGTTGCACCCTAAACCCTGAAGCCCTAAAACGCAAATCCCTCAACCCTACAGAACCTTTACAACAAAGAGAGAGTCTTGAGGCTGCTAAAGCCCTAAACCCCACCCTACGGGTATTAACACTTTGAGGAACAGCAAAATGTCGGATTCCTGAAGCCCCAACGAGAATCAAGGGCTCACTCTACAAGAAATCCGGACCCTCCTAAAGAGATACGTGGACCCTTATAGGTCAGAACTGCACAATCCTAAACCCTGAACCCCAAGCTCCGAACCCCAAACTCCGAACCCCCAAACCCTAAACGCTGAACCCGAGAGCTGCAAAATCCGGAACCCTAAACCCGAGACTCTGAACCCTGAACCCCTTAACCCAAAGGGTCCAAAGTACCTTTATAGTAGAATGTAGGGTTTCTATATGAGGAAGTATGACTTATGATTTAGAGGGACCCCCCTGAGTGGGGATGGCAAATTGCGTTTGCTAGCAAAGGTTTGTGAGGATAGTTGGTTTGGAGGCAACCTTTGAACTCTGTTTACCCCGGCGTAAACTGTCATGGCCTCACCAGCACTCACTAGCACTCACTAGCGCTCAGTAGCGCTCATTAGCGCTCACTAGCGCTCAGCAGTCCCTACTAGTGCTCACCAGCGCTCTGCAGTACAAGCGTCGCAGATCGCTGCTAAACCGTACTAGTGCTCACGAACGCTCAAAACCAACGTCATGCCTCGGTGTGCTATGTAGTTCTTACTAGGCCTTAGCAAGGCTTCGCAAGCCTCACGAACAAACCAAACTACTAAGGCTTGCTTTGCGCTACTAGGGCTTGCCAGCTCTTGCCAATGCTTGGCAGGCCTTGCTATCCAACCATCAGTTCCTGCTGGCAAACTCTATTTGCCATCCCCCCTTACGGGGGTCCCTCTACATCACACTTCAAAGTACTATGATGATTTGGGGAAGTATCCCCCCATAACAGTACTTTGGACCCTTTGGGTAAACCTATGCTCCGAACCCTCAACATCCCTGAATACTAAAGCCTGAGCTTTAAAGAGCGAAGGAACCTCGGAACCCTAGAGCAGCAAAGCCCCCTGAACCCTAATCCCTTAGCTCTGAACCCCTAAACCCCGACCCCCCTAAACTCCGAACCCGTAAAAACCCCTAAACTCTGAAGCCTAAACCCTGAACCCTAAACCCCGAAACCCTGAAGCCTAAACCTGGAACCCCTAAACCCTAAAGCCTTATAAACTCTGAACCCTAAACCTAGAACCCCTAAACCCTGAACCCTAAAGCCTGGACGCTAAGAGCGAAGGCATGGCTGCCGGACCTCCCAGCGAGGCAGAGGAGTCTTGCGCCCAGCTTGGAGGGTTTAGAAAAAGGTAGTGTCCCGAGAGGCAGTAATAATATTTTCGTTTTTTAACTACACACACATATATATATATATATATACATACATATATAGATATATACATACATATGTATATATATATATACACATTTGTGAGATATGTGTGTATTTATCTAGAATAAGACCTCTAGACCCAACACCCTAAGATGGTAAAGCCTGATAGAGTAGAGTTTAATCGAGGGGCAGTACTATTTAGATGGGGGTTTGGTTGGGGTGTACTATGGTAGAATTATAGGAACTTAAGTTATAAGGAAGTGTTGGTGTAAGGTTTTGGGGTTATACATTTTCTTTAAATGAAGGTTCTGCAGAATCCCATCTGCGAGTCTTTTGTCGAGACGCGCTTACCACGGGGTTCAGGGTGTGTTGGGGTGGGTGTAGGGTCAAATTCCCGAAGCCCCCTGAAGCAGCAAGTTTCGCTTTGGTCCTTGCCTAGACCTCCCAACGGCGCCTCTAGTCTCCATTGTAGTTCCTTCTTTGGGTTTAACCAATTATATATTAAGGATCCCATAAGGTAACCCCAAAAAAGAATTACAATGGAGACTATAGGTAAATCCTCACATTTGAGCGCAACTTCGGGTTTGCGGCAGTGTTTAGGGTTTAGGATTTCATCGTAAGCGGCTTCGGGGTGTGCAATTTGCTTTGTAATGGGATGTTCTAACATATTATAATATGGTACACATGTACCGTACTACAGTTTTACGTAGTAGAATGTATAGTCTTAGAGCTTTTTAGGTTTCAGTGTTTCCTCGAGGCTTCTGCTCTGGGAGGACATCACGGCTTGTCTGCGAGGTGGAGGGTTTAGGGTTTAGGGTTTACCCCTCGGGTTTTTTGAGGGTTTAGGGGCTTGGGGGTAGTTTCGGGGCATACTAGTTGAGGGGCTCAGGGGCTTACGGATCTCGGGGCTTTGGGTTTAGGGTTCAAGCGATTTGCACCGGGTTCAATGATTGCTGGACTCGTGGCTTTAGAATCCACGCTCGACTGTCAAGCCGAGAACGCTACTTGGAGGTTCATGGATAGTTATAAGTAAGGTTATAACTGGGTAACTATACTTATAACCCATATTCGGGAGCATATAACCCCACCTATAACTACCCCTGAACCTCCAAGTAGCCCGACACCACACGTTCAACCTGGAGCCCTTATCCCTGCTGGGAATCATCATTTAGATCCGTTGGCCGTGAACCTCCAATGTAGGAGCTCAAAGATCACAGCTCTTTTGCTTTTGTTGCAGGTCTCAGTCGCATCTTGGTGTTCTGTAGTGTTCTGCAACTTATGGCTTCGAGTTGCGGGTTCTGAGGCTCCGCAGGTTTCTGGTTCCCTGTAGCTGAGTTTATAAACTTTAAACTTTTTTGGATAATGAAACCCTCTTAGAACTGAAGTTTAAACTTTTTTGGGCTTATACACTCGGCAACTAAGAGTTAAAACCCCCAAAACCCGAACGCTGTCAACCCCCAAAGAATCCCAAACTCTGGAGCCCTTTGGCTTCCCTCAACCCAAAATAACCAGGAATCCTAACCCCCACTTGGAGGTTCATGGGTAGTTATAAGTAAGGCAACTATATAGTTATAACCCATATTCGGGGACTTATAACTAAACCGCCAAAGCCCTGAAGCCCTAAACCCTAACTCCACTCGTCATCGCCTCCAAAATTTGTAGGCATCCTAAACCAAACCCTGAATCTACAGCCGTAGAACCTAAACCCCCAAAATCTAAATTCCATCACCCCAAGGGCTGTGTAAAGGGGTTTACAAGAGCGTTCTATGACCTTATATAAGTGTCCACAGTTTTCCATAATTAGGTACTGGGGCTTGTTCGTGCATGTGTGTCGACATACTTACCACTCACATGGATTGCTTTCATTGGCTACGGTGCTAGGCATGTGCAAACAAATCCGTGGACTTTTGCCCGTTTGGTGCGGGTTTTGCGAGAATCCCAGATGAGGGGTGCATTCCCCCGAGTGTAAGGAGGACTGGAGGACCTGTGTGTCGAGATGTCAACCGGGACCATGTCGAGCGTGCTCTGCTGCGAAGCTTCAAGGGGGCACTTTGTTGTTCGTCGTTTTCCTCCGGAAATGGTTTTAGAACCGATGCATACCCTGACCTTGTAATCAAGGTAGCCACCACCCAGGAAGTCTTGGCCAGAGAACACAGCATCTAGCAAAAAATGCCAGACCTCCGTCAGAAAGGATACTGTCTTTACCTTTGGATGTTTGTTTGACATGTTCTATCCACTCAGCTTTGGCATCAGGATAGTGTTTTTGTAGCTGCGCATCCTGCGCGGGACAGGACTAGTAGGTGCTGACATTCAGCTAAGGGTTTATGATCCCCCTAAATCCTAAACCCTACAAGCCCTACAAACCCTAAACCTTGAAGCCTGGACCCTAAAGCGTAAGCCTTGAACCCTATTAACTAACCAGCAACCCTGTAAACCCTAAACTCTAAACCCTATAAACCCCAAACTCTAATCCCTACAAAACCTAAGCCCTAAACCTTCAACCTGCACCAAGTTAAAACAAACACACACACTTCGAAAGCCTGAACCCTAAATCGTGGAGGTGCTGCGGAAGTCGACTCCGCTGTTTTGCGCCTTAAGCTCGTCCTCCAGCTTCATCGCCATGGGCAGGCCCTTGGGCTTTGAGGGTTTTTTTCGGGTTTAGGGCTTCTAGGGTTTGAGGTTTAGGGTTTAGGGCTTTCAGGTTTTTGGGGTTTGGGGTTAAGGGCAGAGTTTAGGGTTTTTTAGGGTTTAGATTAGGGTTTAGGTCTTTAGGGGCCATGGGCAGGCCATTGGTTTTAGGGTCTTGGGGCCTAAAAGGTTTATTTTAGGGTAGGAACCTGATTAATCAAGACACCCTGGCTCCATAGCCGAAGATTTAACGGGTTCCATATTCAGAACCCTAATAAAGACCAACTTTTTCTTAATCAGGTTCCTGCGTTAGGGTTGCAGGGTCGTAGGGCTCAGGGGTTTGATTAGGGTTTTGGGTGTTCATGGCTTGGGTCTGTCTTAAGATCTGATTTGAGGCTTTGAGGTGTATCGGTGTAGGATTGACGGCTTTCGGGCTGTTTTCGGGCTTGGTGAGGAGGGGAGGGGTGGTTTCTGGCCTGTGATGCAAAACACGCCGTTGTGGCGCACTCTTGCGTCTTTCAAACAATGTCTACTATAGCGGCCTGAATAATTAGACTGGGGTTCTGCAGGGTATCATTCTTCTATACACAATAAGAAGGACCCCCCCCGGCAAAAAAACCGTGTTAGTGATTATTGAGGCCCTTTTATACTCATAGTGCAATGTACTCCCAAACCCTACTCCAATTATTAAGGCCCCCATAGTAGGCAGTCAAGGGCTTCTGCTGCTTGGGATCTTGTCTGTCGCGCTGGGAAGGTCGGTTTCAGGGTTTGATATAGGGGCTTTAGTTAATAACTACCAAGGCTATTTTGTTGTTCCTTACTGCCTTATCATAAATAGTTCTACGATTCTAAGGCCTAATTAAATTAATAATTACCACTACTGTCTTGGGGGTTCCTTCTTGCCTTATTGTAAATAGTTCTAATACAAAACGCCCCAGAGCCCTTTTCTAATCATTACGGCCACATGCGGCCCAGAGTTCCATGATAGTAAGTGTGGAAGGCCTTTACACCGGGAGTGGATTGTGGTGAACAGATGCCTGAATCAGGCCAAAAGCTTGAACACAATTGAAACCTCCCAGCCCTGTTGCCGAATGAATTTGGAGTGTTGGACTTTTGTGCAAACTGACTTGTCCGCTTCCTTGCATTTCTGCAAAGTGCCGGGTTCTTAAGGTTCCAATTGAAGCATCTCCACACAGAATATGAAGGGGGCATTCACGGAGTCCCACGTGCACAACATCGTAAGTCACAAGACCCAAGCCTAATCCCAGGATGCCCATAATATAGGAGCGTGAATAGTTAGAATAGGGTTTTGGGGCTTTGGGGTATATTATACTCTAGCCACAACCAAGACCACCCCCCCAAAAAAAAAGTAGGTAATTATTCAAGCCCCTATATTACCCTCAACCTGCAACCTCAAGCCGTTCACCTCCAACTTGGTCAGTCCTTAAACAAATACCCCTGCGACTTACAGCTCTGAGAGCCCTAAACCCTTGACCCCAAAGCCCGAGACCTTAGACGCAACAAACTCAAGCCCTATGCCCCAAAATCCCAAAGCTCCACCTCATCTTACCAAAGCCTTCTTCTATTGCACGGTCCCCATGTCTCTATCTTCGGCTTCATAATCAGGACCTTCAAAATTTAAAGAGTGTTATGGTGGTATCAGGTACCCGAAGCCTCCAAGCTTTTCAATAATACCGTACCGGATCCCCAACATGATTTCAGGGGTACTTCTTGAACAAGGGATATTAGAAGGTCCGGGCCCCTCCCTCAATGACTCAAGACTAGACCTTAGGGACCCAAAAAGCACATAAGCATAAGCGTTTTATGGGGATATCACTACCTTATTGAGCTTCCTTTCAAGGGGTTCATATAGGATATCCCTATCCTTGTTTTTGCTAAGGTGCTTTTGAGGGGCCCTAAAACCATGGATCGGCCCAGGGTCCACCCGACGGTTGGAACCCCGAGGCATTCCAGCTACATGTTCTGGGTTTGGGGATTTAGGGTTTAGGGGATTGGGGGTTTGGGGATTTAGGGTTTAGGTGTTTAGGGTTTAGGTGTTTAGGGGTTTGGGGATGTAGAGGTTTGGGGCTTTAGGGTTTAGGATTTTTAGGGTTTAGGGTGTGGCATGCATGCATGTACGGTTATATACACATACATATGTATATACATACATATGTATATACATATATATGTATATACATACATATGTATATATAATATGTATATATATATATATATATTTATATATAGAGAGAGAGAGAGAGAGAGAGAGCGAGAGAGCTAAATTGTGTGTGTATATATCACACATCACATGTGCGTATGTGAATGTGCGATTCACTGTTGCATTGCCCCTTCGGCCAGTCTGAAGCGGCGTCTCTCGGTAGTCTTGTCGCGTTTTGTTGTGTTATTTATTAATTTTCGGGCCCCGCCATTTCTGACATGGCTGCTCGTTCTGTTGCCAGGGGCACCACGTTGATGCTTCCAACGTGCTTTTACGCCCGGTGTTATGCTTGCGCATACCGTGATCATTGCTGTAAGGTTGACTGCTTTGCTCGCGTCTGCTGTTTTGCGGTCCATGCATTCGTCACCTAGCTTAGCTAGTGAATGCCACAAGCATCATTACCATATTGTTAGACTCCTCACCCTGATCCCCCAAACCCCTAAATCTACAGAACATCACGCCCTGATGGCGTGCTTTTCGTGTGTTCATGTTGTCACCTGCACTCTCAGATGGCAAGCTCAGCAAGCTCTTCTCTTCCCGCAACATTGTTTTAGCTGCACACTCTAAATCTACAGCCGAGGCCTCTTTCTTGGTTTGAAGCGATTTGGGGGGACTGTTGGAGTTTCTTGGGCTCACAGCTGTCAGCGTTTCTGAATGTTCCTTTTTTCTGGGTGCCTGGCTTCTGTACTTCTGTGGTGACAGAGTTGCACTTGATTAGTTTTTAGGTGGTTTAGGGTGTCCGGCCGGTTTGGTCTTGGTGGGCGCTCGCACTCGCTGAGGTATTGCAAGTCACCTAACATAGAATGCATGACGAATGAAGCACACTGACAAAACGGCAAAGTAATGCAGGGGTCCAAATAACTACAGATGGCATTTTCCGGATACCTTACGATATGTGTAGTCGAATATACAGCAAACCGTATGGCAATTATGAAGCCCCGGATGCTACCCTGATAAGGGGCTGTGGATCGTATTCTAGGACCCAGAGTAGGCCCTTATTCCCTTCTTCGGAAGTTTAGGTTCTCTTATAGCACCCTCGAACCCCAAAAGGGCACCCTTTTTATTCCCAGGTTGCTCTTGGGTCTAGTATTTCGCCTTCCATACCCCCCGCCCCCCCAACAAAAAACAACACAAATGGAACCTAAATCACGCCCTGCTGCGGAAGGCCCCCCCCCCCCCCCCCCAACAAAAAACAACACAAATGGAACCTAAATCACGCCCTGCTGCGGAAGGCCGACTTCCTTCTTTGGCTCTCGGAGGGCGCGCCACTCCGAATCGGTGTCGGGTTGGTTTTTGCGGGTTTAGGCCAGAGTTTGGGCGGTTTAGGTGTGCTTGGTTATGGTTTGGTCGATTTGGGTTTTTTTTTGGGGGGGGTTTAGAGTTTGGGTTTAGGGTTTATAGGGTTTAGGGTGGGGCGTAGGTTTCTTGGGTTATGGGGGGGGGGTTTAGGGATTGGGCGGTTTAGGTTTTTTTTGGTTTTGAGGGGTTTGGAGTCTGGACGATTAGGTTTATTTGGTGTTGGGAGATTTGGGGGTTTGGGCGGGATGAGCCATGTGAGATCATGGCATTAAAACCCCTGTACTCTATGTTAAGGTAGATTTCTCATTTTGGGGTTGGGTTTAAAGGCTACTTTGGCCTTATAGCATGCATAGTTATGTCCAGACGTCTTTTGCGAAGGCCCGCAGCAGAAGCGATCAATTGATAGGGCAGGTGCTTGCAGCAGCATTGCAGCAGTCAGGATCTTGAGGCAATGCACCAACTTCCATGCGAGGAACCCTAAACCCTATAAACCCTAAGCCGAATAAGCCCTAAACCCTACACCCCAAGCCCTAAACAAAGTGTCTCGGCAAGCTTGTGCACGACCCTAAATCCCAGACGGACAACTCTAGACCCTAAACCATTAACCGTGTAAATGCCCGAATAATACGCCAGCTTACATTGTCCCCTGTTCCTTCAAGTGAATGGTTTTGAGTAAAGGGTTCAGAGTTTGGGGGCTTGTGGGCTTGCGGGTTTAGGGGCTGGGGTTTTTGGTCTGGGTTGTAGGGTTTAGGGTTCTGGGTTTGGGGTTTGGTATACTGGTATAATACTTGTAGCAGAATCGCGGCAATCCCACGAAGATGCTGCTGTTGGGGCCTGCCTCAGCGTGTCCGGGTCGGGTGCAGGGTCTCAGTGTCAATCCCTTTGTGTGGTTGCCGGGTTTTATGGATCTTCAGCGCAATTCAGAATCTCAGCTTTAGTTCCGTTGGCTTGTTGCATGATTTCTTGTGTTTTATGTTTCTGTGCCTTCGTCATAAGCTGGTAGATCAATCTCTCTCTCTCTCTCTCTCTCTCTCTCTCCCCCCCCTTCTCCCTCACCAACTAACTAGCTACATATGTATCTGCTTTTGTGCGTGGATCCTGGTCCTTGCACTAAAAGCGTGTTTTCCTCGAGCTCTCCAGGCCGAGAGGCCAGAGCGGGCCGCCTTCTGACTCTTGAAGAGGCTGGGTTCTCGTGTGTCTCTAGCACTTCGGGAGTATGAGTACCTGGTTCAAGGATGTTTTGGGCTTCACTTTGCCATAGTTGGGTAACATTATACATTTTTATAGGTATATTATAGGTACTTAAACCCAAGAAGGAATACACATGTACATGTTTAATCCTATCCCACCCATGAACTAGTTCAGGGTTTAGCAAATGGAGGATTGGGGTTTAGGTTTTGGGAATCAGGGCAAATGATGTAGAGCTTCAGGATTCGACAAGGTGTTTGGTTTCATGGTTCAGGCTTCAAGACCGGGCTTCTGCAGACATGAAATGGTTTGTACATGTTCTTGGGATCCTTTTGCTTGCATCCCAGACCCTAAACCTGTAGCCACGGGTCCGACTGAAGTGGCGTATCCCGGTTCCTCAACTGAAACTGGGCTCTGAACACGAAGCCCTACAAGTGTAAATGCTAAACCCCGCTTCGCAGCATGGCCCCATGCCCCGAACTTAGTCCCTGTCTATCGCCCAGGCCTCAGCTAGCCACCGGATACAGCTTCTTCCTTCGTTTGGAAATACCATATCGTAGAAGAGGGTCCGCGCATACTCAAGCCCGAAGACCGTCTTGACAAGAAGGCGGAATAAGCAAATTCAAACGCAGCAGAACCCAGCAGACAACTAAGCCAAGCATGATCACCGTCTTACCGGGCAGGGTTTGAGGAGCGATCTCAAAAGTGCTTCGAGGTTGTGTTACGACTTTGAGCTGTTTTTTGGTTCCATTTAGCTTTCCCTAGGGTCTGCACCGCGGCAGTGGGTGAGGTCCTGGGAGGCCCGGAGGAATTAAGGGTAGCTTGGCGGTGCTTCTAGAGTTATATAATTTGGGGCCCTATAGTAAAGGGTACGTTATAGGAGCAGTCATTAAGGGATCTACTTTTTGGATCCTCCCGGTGGTCTAGTAGTAGTAGTAGTAGTAGTAGTAGTAGTAGTAGTAGTAGTAGTAGTAGTAGTAGTAGTAGTAGTAGTAGTAGTAGTAGTAGTAGTAGTAGTAGTAGGAGGGGAAGTGAGCTTGGACTTTTGTAGCCCCTATATAATCCCAAAGGTTAACCTGTAAACCTCCTAGGATACTGCGCAAGAAGGGGCTTGCCAACTAACATTTGAGAATGGGATCCTCACTGAGCTTTGCACACTCTTAAACAGATGCCTGACCAAGCCAAGCCCCGTAAACACCTAGCTCGAACTGCTGTTGCATCCACCAGGGGCTTCCAACAATTGGATTTGTTCTAAACGGGCCTCCTCGGATTCATCTCCAGGTTCCTCTCTCCTCCTACCACCCTCCCCTCCCCCTTCAAGTTCTGTTTGGGCCCTCAACCCGTAAACCCTGAGCTACATCCGAAGGCTGAGAAACAGCAACCGTGGAGCCGATCGTGAAGCCCAGACTGCCTAGACTCATAAAGCCTAACCCCAAGGGTCCAAAAGACCCAATAATTAGGTACTCGGTTTTAGGATAGTACTTGTGTAGGTTAGGATTTTGGAGAGTATATGACTATTGGGTACTTGGACCCTTGGGGTAAACTAGATCCTAAACCCTGAACTGTGGCCCTCCCCTCCCTTATCAGCCCGAAACCCCTAAACCCTAAACCCCCAGGATGTTGCCTTGTTGGACTTCTTGGGCGGAGGTGGCTTGGCCGCAATCCTGCGACCTGCTCTCGAAGCCAAAAGAACTATATTATAGCGTGCAATATAGTGGCCTTATAATCATAACCTCTACTATTTCCGAGGCTCCTTATTGCAATGATAGTATACGGGGTTAGGGTTTAGGGTTTGGGGTCCTGGTTATGAATTCCCAATATGGTTCGTGGGCAAGTTGATTTATGACAGGCTGTCATTCGGGATGGAGGGTTTAGGGTTTGACTCAGAGTTCAGGGTATTGGGTGTTGCTTCCGAGGTTGAGCAGCGGTCTTAGTGCAAGATTAGCTTTTAGTGCTTTGCAACGGAGCATCGACATTGAGATACCGAAGACCCAAGCCTTAACACCAAGCCAGAGTTGAGAGTTTAGGGTTTAGGATTGTAACTGGCTCCCGCCGAGCTTTAACCATCCACTGTAAAACGATAAGAAGTAAAAGAAAAACGATAGCAAAGTTTCAGGATAAGGGGTTCATCGCGGGTTTTTTGTACAACCCCTAACAGGTGGGGAGTAGTGCAGCCTATGCGACAATTTACATGGACGAAAAGCACCGCCAAAGCGCTCTTCACGCTTGCCGCATTGGGTAGCAGCTTTGCCTGGACCTCTTGATCGGTGTATCTATGTGGGAGTTTCCGAAAAGTAGGGGTACCTTATTTTGGGGTCCTTATAATAAGGATCCTAATATTTAGGGTACTATATGAGGGTCCCCTATTTACGGAAACTCCCATGTCGCAGCACGGATTCAAACGAGTCGGGCATGGTCGGACTTGCATTGGACGCCAGCCACGGTCTGAGCAGAAACAGGCGCCGGTACTGGGGATGCGACCTCGAGAATCTCTGCGCCCGAATCTATGCCTGCCTGAAGCCCAAAGCCCCCATACATGAAGTTTAGGGTTTTGGAGTTTAGTACCTACCTTAACCCCAGGTAACCTACCTTTTTAAGGACTTATATAAAGAAATCATATTAGGGAACCCTAAAAAGGTAGGTTCCGTAGGGTCCAGGTAAGCCTGAACCGCAGCTGAACCGCAAGCCTTGTTCTAGACAGGACTGAGAATCGTCCTGCAGTGTTGAATTTAGTTCTCCGGACCCCTTATGAGGCCTTAAGTGCTCATAGAACCTTTGTGAACCCAGAGACTGTAACATCCCATAATGAAGGGAAATACCTTAAAATATAATAGGATCCTAATGTGATTTAAGGAATATTCCTGAATTGGATATTGGAGTCTCTGGGAACCCTTGCAACCCGTGGCAGTGGTGCCCGAAGAAAGCTTCGTTAGCAGCCTCGAGAGACTCCCAACACCCTCTTGATTGAGGACCGTTCCGTTCTAGGGTTTACCTTAACCCGGATTAACCTACCTTTTAAGGACGTATATAAGGAACACGTCACAAAGTACCATAGGGTTTTTAGGGTCAAGGTAGGGCTTATAGGATATCAGGCCCCAGATCATAGCTAGTAAGGTTCGCTCTATATTTCAAGCTGAGCTTCAGCAGATTGCGTTTTTTGAGTGGTGTTTAGGTTTACCTTAAACTGCCAAAGCCTGCATTTGTGTAGGTTCTTGTTATAAAGCCTAATATGCACTTTAAGAAAACACTGCAACAAACGATGTTCTGGTCGGTTCAGGTCGGGCTTATAACTGGGATATCACTACTTGGGGCACATATAACCCCAATGATATCCAAGCTTGCTAACTCCCTTGAGCCCTCAAGTAGGGTTTAGGATTAAGGGCTCCCTAACCCCTAAACCCCAAACCCCTATAGGCCCAGGATGCCCAGTAGTACCCTTATTCCCTTTTTGTAGTCCCAGGTTCCTTACAAAGTTTCCCAATACCAAAAAGAGAGGCCTTTTTTTCTTAGGTTACTGGGTATCCTAGAAGCCATAAACCCTAAAGTAGGGTTCACGGCTCTAGCAGATCTGGCTCCTCTCACACCTGAGGCTCGCATGAGGCAGGTTGGCAGTCTGATGCTCAGAGTGAGCCCTGCAGTCTTTACCCTAAGGGTCCTAACCTACTATTTGCTTAAGAACCCCCCAAAAATAGAAGATGTATTCCTTATAGGGATAATATAGGGATTATATATTTTTTTATTTTTTGGGTGGTTCTTAAGCAAATAGTAGTAACACTTTGGGAACTTCAAAATGTAGGATTCCAACGAGACCCAAGGGCTTTCCCTGGGAGATTCCGACCCTCCTGAGGAGATACCTGGACCCTTATAGGGTAGGGACTAACCAATAGAGAATCCTTAATCATGGCCACAGATAGCATTCCTTGCTAGGGTCGCTTGACTAGAATAAGGTATATGTGCAGTATACCCCGGAAGAAGCACTTCTACTTTATATAATGCTCTTACACTGTTGAACCCTTATGCGTCCTTTGTAGAGCCTTGTAAAGAGCCTTTTCAACAACCCTAGGCTACTCCAGCTTTCTTAAGGCCTCTACTGATATATTGATATGACAACAGAGGACCCCAGGTTCAGGAGGGATTGGGATAGGGTTTAGGGTTTCGGATTTTTGTGTCGCCAAGATCACTTTTCGTCAAAGGAACTACATAAGCCACCTGCTTAAGCTGGAAATGATGTGAGTCACTGGTTTGTGGGTGTTTGTGTTGCAGTGGTGGGCTTAGATGGCTTAGTTTTGGAGTTACGGGTTCAGAGGTTTAGGAGCTAGGTGTAGTCATGTGGATCGTGTGGGGTTTAGGGTTCGTAGGTTAAGTGCTCAGGCTGAGGGTTCAGGCGTTTAGGCATTTGGGTGGGTTTAGGGTTCAGAAGTTTAGTGGCAAAGCGCTTGAGCGATTAGGATTCATAGTGCAGCACGATAAGGCAGGCACCACAGGTTGAGGGTGTGAGTCTAATGAGTCCGGAAAGTCTACCAATAGTATTCCTGAGGCTAGCTATTGCAATTCTAGTATATATTGCAAGTCTACCCGAAACCCTATTCTGACCAGTAAGGCTTAACCAGGACCTGATATGGTTCGCGCACTTTGGGAAGGCACTGCAAAGGTGCACTTTACTGCCGAGTGCCCGCATGGAGGCATGATCACAGTGCCGGCGCTGCTCCAGGAGAAGGCCACCCTTGCAACAGAATGGTTGGCGATTCAGCCCAGCCCAGGCCTGAAGCGCCAATTCTTCGAGTCGACGCTCGTTGTTTTGCTCGCTTTGGAATCGTCAGGTTTGGCGCTCCATGACCTCGGCGAGACAAACCTCGGGGTCAGAAGACCGGGGGACAAAGCGATCCCCCTCTTCTTTGACTTAGAGGCGTGGGCTCCTGGCCGTCCATCGTCGCACTGTGGGTAAGCTCAATTTGGCAGATGGTGATCAAATGTTTCCTGATATGGGGGGAACTGGAGATCCAGCCCTTTAGGTGGGACCTTCGTTTGTCCTGTCGAGGTGGATTCCCGGCCTATGCCGGGTGAGGAGGCCGTCTATCCCTGGCGGCGGCGATCTCTTTTGGGACACTTTGGCGACGATGTCTCGTCTCCATCGGTCTGGGCGTTCGACGATACGGTTGATGATATGTGGTTTACACTTTCGTGTGTAAAACCCATCCCTCTAACCGCCCCTGTTATGAAGAAAGAAAGATGCTGAAGTTGGAGTGTGCAATGAACATTGGATTTACAGGTTGTCTGTGCTCGTGTTAACCGTGCGCGCATGGCTTCGTGTAGCTGCTATCCGTTCATTGCGCCCTTTGGGTAAACGGTAAGTTGAAATTATTGGCTTTAACGATTGTTCCCTGAGTAGCTGAATCCTCAAAACTTAGAAGTTGTTTGTGTTCTGGGAAAAGAGGATTCAGCTCAAATCACAACAACTGAAAGTTAAAGTTAGTAAGTTCAATTTCCCCCATTCCATTTAATACATGCTCCTACTGGCCATTTTTACCGTGGCGGCGTCCTTCCGCACGCAAGACCCCGCCTTGCGAGCGTTCCAAATCGCAGTACGGGATCGACAGCCCAGTGCCGCGGCTCTGCAGCACTTTCTCCAGCCACTGCATCTTGGCGTGGACGCTTCACCGGAGGTTTTCAGGGAACTCTGGGCCGAGTTGCCCAATGTCGTTGTCTTGACCGCAACACAAGCGTCGGACCGAGCAGTGAATGACTGGGCTGCCCGGCACTTCGGCCATCACTTCCTCGGCTCCGTGCTGGTTTGGCCTGCTTAAGAAGGAGACTTTCCGACGCAGCTAGAGTTGCACGAGAACCTGCGCGTCCGTCTGACACAGACAATGGACTTTGCACAAGGCTTAGTCAACGGCCTGCAAGGATCCGTTGAAGCTGTGCTGGAGAATGGACTCGTGCAGCTCCGATGGGATCGCGGCGGCAGCGACATCCTGTGGCCCATCAGTCGGGTGCTGACTGTGTCTTCGGACAAGCAAAGAGCCATTGCGGCCTTTACGCTGGGCTTGGCTTATGCCGCCACGGTGCATCAAGTGCAGGGACAGTCTCTAGATGAGGCGGCAATTCTTTTTGAGGATTTCGCTCCACCTGGTTGGGCTTACACAGCCGTGACGCGCGCCCGCAGCCGCCGTGGCTTGCGCGTGCTGGCACCGTGCTGGGCCGTCCTCTACCGGAGCATTTTCGACCGAGATGATGACTCGGGCTGCTTGTCTGCAGGTAGATAGAGACATCTTGAGTAGCCACGTCGCGCGCGCGTGCACAATACAACATACAGCAACCTTGGCTGCAAGCAGGTGCTGTCTTCTGCAGGAGCCCTAGTGGGTGGTTTTCGGAAGAAAGTCGGGTTCCCCACCGAGTTGGAACTCGGGTTCCCAACCGAATTGGAATTTGGGTTCACAACCGAAGTGGAATTCGGGTCCCGAACCGGATTGGAATTCGGACGCCGAACCGAATTGGAATTCGGGTTCCCAAACCAGATTGGAATTCGGGTTCCCAACCGAATTGGAATTCGGACGCCGAACCGAATTGGAATTCGGGTTCCCGACCGATTTGGAATTCGGATTCCGAACCGAAGTGGAATTCGGGTTCCCAACCGAGTTGGAATTCGGACTCCCAACCGAATTGGAATTCGGGTTCCCAACCGAATTGGAATTCGGATTCCGAACCGAAATGGAATTCGGGTTCCCGACCGAAATGGAGTTCGGACTCCGAACCGAATTGGAATTCGGATTCCGACCCGAATTGGAATTCGGGTTCCTCACCGAGTTGGAATTCGGGTTCCCAACCGAGTCGGAATTCCGTTTTCACAGGGAAATGTCTGTTAAAGGGGGGTCGGCCCCCCTCACCCCCCGATTCTCCGGCTGTCCAACCACATTCCAACCAGATTGGAATTGGGGTTACCAACCGAATTGGAATTCGGGTTCCCGACCGAATTGGAATTCGGGTTCCCAACCGAATTGGAGTTCGGGTTGCCAACCGAGTTGGAATTCGGGTTCCGAACCGAATTGGAATTCGGGTTCCCGCCCGAATTGGAAGTCGGACTCCGAACCGAATTGGAGTTCGGCTTTCCAACCAGATTGGAATTCGGGTTCCCATCCGAATTGGCATTCGGGTTCCCAACCGAATTGGAATTCGGATTCCGAATCGAATTGGAATTCTCATTCCGTACCGAACCGAATTGAATTCGGATTCCCAACCGAGTTGGAACTCGGTTGCCGAATTGGAATTCGGGTTCCCAACCGAATTGGAATTCGGGTTCCCAATTACCGGGGTTAGACAAGTATCGAATAACATTCTTGTATTGAATAGCAACGACTGGTACAGGAATATGCCATGTTCAATGGCAGGTTGATCTGCATCCTGCATTACCCTAAGGACCCTAAACTATGGGAATTATGGTATATTCCTTATTATGGGTAATGCAGGATTTATATCATCAACCACATGACACGCCGAGTGCAGCCTCGGAGTCAACTCGAATCTTCCCAGAAATAGAGCATGCATCAGGTGACATCCGGAGCAAAGCCCATGGGCAACGCTTCAAGTCTGAAGAAACAGCATCAGACAAGCCATTCTACATGTGCTGTTGCAAGTAAACCTAAATAAACACTCGCTTGTTCACAGCCTCCGATCAGAGGCCTAGTGACAGTGTTCCGGACAATGTCTACCTGCACTGGTTTCTTTGGATCTGTGTTATCTCGGTGCTTTTAGCAAGCAACTCCACACAGCCTTTACAACTCAAACGCTCCAACCTCCAGCCGTACAAACCCTGAGCCCTAACCCCGTACTCCTACACCCTTTAAACACACCCTAAACCCTAAAACCCTAAAACCCTAAAGCCCTATACCCTAAACCGTCTACAACCCGACGAAGTCTGAGGCTCCGAGCAAGGACGCAGGTTCATCGAGAGCTCCTGCAGCTCGCATCCGCAGCTGGGAATCGAAAACTCAGAGGATTCAGCATCCGTTTAAGGGTTTAGAGGCTAGGGTTTAGGGGTTTACGGTTGAAGGTTTATTGGGTTTAGGTTTAAGGGTTTAGGGATTATACTCTCCATTGCAGGGGTTACAGGGATTTAAGGTTTAGGGTTGAGGCTTTATGTCCAGGGTTTAAGTATTAGGCGGTTCTGGTTAGAGACAGAGAGCTGTGGGCTCAGGGCTGCTGGGCTGGAGTTTCTGTTTCCCACGGCTTCAGGGTTCTAGGGTTCCAAAATGAGGCTTCAGGGTACAGGGCTTAGGGTTTAGGGATTAGGGTTTAGGGGTTTAGCGTTTAGGGGTTTAGGGTTTAGGGTTTGGGGTTTCGGGTTTGGGGGTATAGGGCTTCGGTAAAGAGTTTCCTTCGTGGTGGTTGTACTGAAGCAATGAAGAAACTCATGACCTACGAAAATGTGAATCTCCTAAACCCAAATACCGAATCATCGGATACTTTAGACCCTTAGTAAAGGCTCTATCCCTGAGGGCCAAGTTGAAACGTTTAGGTCTGTGGTCTCCAAGACAATCCCGGCACGAACCCCAGCTCCCTAAACTCCACCCGCACAGGCCGGAACTTCTGAAATGAGGGGGGGGGGCGTTCTGCAGAGTTTTCTATAAGGGTAAGGAGTTGAAGGATTCAGGGATTAGAGTTTACAGCTTCAGGATTTAGGTTTTCTTTTGGAGGTGTTGGCTTAGGAGTTTAGGGGACAGCGCCTGCAGCATCAAAGCTCCGCGTTAAGGCTTTCATTTGGCAGTTTGGTAACCTACAAGAAGTAGCAGCTCTGTCAGTTTCAGTTCATTGACAGTCGACCACTAATTCACAGGTATCCACTAGACTCGACCTACGAGCCCCTCTTCCTGTTTCAGGGGGCTTGGCAGGCAGGTTATCAGGTGTTGGACGTTGGATAGCTCAAACCCCATAGAGTTTTGAAACCGGATTAAGGCCAAATAGCGCTGGGATTACCTGTAAATTACTCTTAAGGACTACCTATAAATTACTCTTAAGGATTACCTATAATTACTCTCAAGGATTACCTATAAATTACTCTTAAAGATTACCTATAAATTACTCTTAAGGATTACCTATAAATTACTCTTAAGGATTAAGGCTATTGTGTTTCCAACTTGTGGGCTTCTACTGTAGGGTGGCCCCGGGTCCGAAGCCGAGATGGGTTTAAGGCTCAGGGGTTTAGGGTTTAGGGTATGTAAAGCTTCAACCCAAACACCCTGAAAGAACCCACCTACTTTCAGGACTTACATAAAGAACTGATATTAGGGAGCCCTTTAAAGTCGTAGGTTACTTGGGCGCCAGGAACACCCTGAAACAACGGACCCCTTGCCGTGAACCAGGCCCGTGGCCACGTCACCCAGCGACCCGGGCGTCTCGAAGAGGGTGTCGGCCTTGGAAGCAATGCAACGGTTGATGATAAAGATCTTGCATGACCCATAATAAGGAATATACCATAGTTCCCATATATTCCTTATTATGGGTAATGCAGGATTTATATCATCAACCGAAGGATCTTGGGTACTGCCCCCACTCAGTAACAGTAGGATAATATTCATAATATATATATATATATATATATATATGTATGTATATGTATATGTATATGTATATGTATTAGGACCTTAATAGTAGCCCTGTTATAGACTGTTACTGTATGGGGGGGCAGTACCCAACGCATATCCATGATTTGACAGGTTATCTTGGGCTTTGAACCAATTGGTGCTTTTAGGGATTAAGTGAGTCATGCTGTTCTGTTGGGTTCCTTAATTCTGGAATTAGGCCTTTGCGACTGTTGGGTGCTGCTTGATGGGCAAGCCGGGTTTTGTAGAGTTTAGCGCCGCGGGCTTAGCGACGCAGGGTGTCGTTGGAGCCAGTACTCAGTACTCAGTGACTGGGTCGCTACCTACTGTCTTGCCGTCGAGAGTGGGATGAAGGAATCCACAAATCAAGGTCGTTTAGGGGTTGAGGGTTTAGGATTTATCATCAAAGTCCGTTGCATTGTCAGGAGCGAGACTGCATCCATACATTCTCCGATCTCCAAGCCCCCAGGGTCTCCAAGACGCAAGAACTTGGGACCCGTCCGTTAAGCTCTCATAGGCCTGGGGGCCGTAGCCAACCTCACTCCGAGAGGAGCCGAAACCCAGGGTCGAGGGATCCCTGAGTTGTTAGGTCCCAGCCCAAAGGGCTCTCAGTACGTATATGGATGGTTGTCAAATTTATGGTCCCTTATTGGGTCCCGAATATAATACGGCACCTATTATTGAGGGTACCCAAAAGGGGGATCCTAACTTTGACAACTACCCATTTAGTAGAAAGTAAGGTTTCTATGTACTTTCGACCCTTTGGGAAGGTAGTATCCTTGATGCATATGCATGTTGGGTTTCCACATTCCGCCTTATCGTACCCCGTATAAACCATTATGAACCCTATTCTAGTCGACTCAGTCAACATCAAAATCCCACAAGGTCCTAGGTACTGTTATGGGGGATACTTCCCCAGATCATAAGAGCAAATAATTCCTAATAAAGAAACCCTGCATTCTACTACATAGGTACTTTGGACCCTTTGGGGAACAATCTCTAAGAAGGCACTGTCGTCGTGCTTCGGCGCTCCAAGCATTCCAGCCTGTGCCGCCCTCAGCGATAACCCTCTAAGGGTCCATATCTAGTACATACTGGCATGAAACTACCTGTCCAGGGAACGTTAGGGATCCTTTTCGGGCGTAAGCATATACAGGTGGGTACATGGACCCTTAGGGTTATACAGCTTTGGCAAGTCCGTGACATTTCTGGGCCAGGATAATTATTGGCCGTTTTGAAGCGGTTTCCCATGTTCGACAGTCCGATCCTTATATATTCCGAAAGGATTTCATATTTTCACGATTACCACTCTAATGAGGTCGTGCTTTTGAGTTTTCCTGCCGCAACGAAGGATTGAGATGGAAGTTGTTCGAAGTCCGATGTCTCAAGCTCCAGTTGAACTTGAAGGCTCTATGAGGTTGATTGGATTCATCGGGGTGCACTTGCCCAGACCCCCGGGTGGATCCAAAAAGTAGATCCCTTAATGGGGGTTCCTATAAAGTACCCTTAGTAGTATAAGGCCCAAAATTAGGGGATCTACTTTCTAGATCCTTTTGGGGGTCTGGGTGAGAGCTTCAATCCAGACTACGAAAACTCGGTTTCGAGGCTCCGAAAATCGGAGCACCAAGGCCTTACTCTGTCGATTCAATGCATGAATCAAACATAAAATAGATCGGTAACTATGTATGTATACATATATGCACATATGTAGAATGGATGCTTGCTTGCTTGCTTGATTGCTTGCTTGTTGTTTGTCTTGTGCGTATAACAACATCTGCAGACACACTCACATACATGGCTGTACTATCGTCTCGAGATATACAATTGTTGCGTTGCAGTCCTGCCTGTTATTGTAGACGTCATCTATTCTCATTGTAGGTCTCTGTCAGGGTTTACGACGGTACGTGATGATGTTAAACCGTCTAAACAAGCTAGCAAGAATATACCCTAAACCCGAAATCCAGCATCCCATAGACCCTTCCCTCAGACCCCAAGCCCTAAACCCCCAGTCCCCCAAACCCAAAATCCCAAGCCCTAAATCCTTAAACTTGGCCCTAAACCCTTAAACCTCTATAAACCCTAAGCCCCTACACCCCTAAACCCCTAAACTTTGTCATAGTTGTTATGGGTATCAAAACCCAGAAAGGAATACAAATGTACGTTTTTTAATCCGATCCCAACCACGAACTAGTAAACCCTAAACCCTACACCCCCAAGCTAACTGAGGCCCGGTCGTCATGAGAGCACCAGCCCCGGGTCGATCTGGGCGCCGTTTGGGATTCGGCATTCAGGGTGTAAGGGGTTCAAGGTTTCAGGGTGTTGAGTGTAGAGATACACGAGGATTGAGGACAAATTTGGCTCAGGGGTGGTATTAAGGTATAGGGTTTAGGGCTTCAGGTTCAGGGGTAATTCGTTGAAAGCCAGGGGGTTGTGGTGTTTGACTTACTGACATGATTGCCTGTGGGTTTTTGAAGGCTCTGTGGAGCTCTGGGAAGGGAGGGCGTAGAGCTACAGTTGTTTGGGGTATAGTACAGTATGCAATAAACCAACACAGTAGAGTGAATAACAATACAATACACCAGAATGCAACATAATGTAGCACGTTCTTACACAAAAGATGTTAGCTAGCTATCCTTAGCTAAGCATAATATTGCAGTTGCTTTTTGGCGTTTCCTTCCGGGGAGCCTGGGGCCTCGGGGGACCTTGTATATAGTTTGAACTCTACAAGGTTGTTGAATCATGGGTATCCTTACATAAGGAGCACGCAAGCATATCCGGAACAACTCCAAAGTTCATACAGCTTTCTTTTACTTGTCGTTCTTCTGGTTGGCTCTTTAGACTCTAACTTTTTGGGTTTCTATATGAAATATAATAATTAAGGAGGCTAAAAGTTTAACTTTGTGGGGGGGGGGTTCAGAAGTCAGCCAAGTTTAGTCATAAGGACCCTTAGGGGGGTAGGGGGCCTTAATACTTATAAGAAGGACTGAATACGGCTTATTTGAGGGAGTATAGCCCCCTAAGCCGAAGGGTCCCTATGATTCATGAAGGCAAACCCAACTCCCTACGCCTCATAGAGCCCCAGCCGTGTAAACCCTAATGAAACCCCACCCCCAACCCCCCGAGCCTAAGCCGTGAATCCTAGACCCTGCCTACACCCCAAACGCTACCCCGAAAACCCAAAATCGCAAATACAACCCTAAACCCTACACAGTCACTACTTCCCAAACAGAACCCTAAAGCCTAAACACTAGTTCCCAAATCGAGCCCTAAACCGCAAACCCTAGTTCCCACATAGAACCTAAACCCTAGCTCCCAACTAGAACCTAAACCCTAAACCCCAAATAGAACCTAAACCCTCCACCTTGCCCTCCACACCCCAAAACCGAAGAACCTCAGGAGGAAAGGCGACTCTCGAGTCGGCTGGCCACGCCAAGCTGCTTGTGGCTTTGGCTGGGTCCTCATCCATCCCGCATGGGGTTTAAGATTTAGGGGTTAGGGTTTAGGGTTTAAGATTTAGGGTTTAGGGTTTTAAGATTTAGGGTTTAAGATTTAGTGCTTAGGGTTTAAGATTTAGGGGTTTAGGGTTTAGGGTTTAAGATTTAGGGTTTAAGGTTTTTAGATTTAGGATTTAAGATTTAGTGCTTAGGGTTTGAGATTTAGGGTTTAGGGTTTGGGGTTTAGGGTTTGGAGTTTAGGGGTTTAGGCTTTAGGGTTTGGGGTTTAGGGTTTAGTGTTTGAGACTTAGGGTTTTGGGTTTAGGGTTTGGGGGTTTCCGAAAATGAGGGACCCTAATATAGTACCCTAAATAGTAGGATCCTGATTTTAAGGACCCCTAAATTAGGTACCCCTAATTTTCGGGAAACTCCCATTTAGGGTTGAAGGTCTAAGAGTCTGAGGTTTTAAGGATCACGGTTTTGGGGTGGAGGCATTGGTTGGGTCCTCATCCGTACCCCGTGGGTTTGAGGTTTGGGGCTTCGGGGTAGAATTCTCGGTCTAGGGTTTGAGGTTTAGGGCTTCAGGGTTAGAGGTTTAGGGGTTTAGGGTTCAGGGTTTGAGGCTTAGGGTGTTAGGGTTAGGGTTTTCGGTTGATTCTGGGCTGTGTTACGTTTTGATTTACAGAGTTGGTGAGATGTTTAAGGGCTCAGATAGGTGTTCCACAAGGTGTCCAGTGTGTTATTCTTGGCAAACGACTGCTACGACTGTTCTTGTCAAGCCAGTGTGCTCCTAGCCCTGTGTTATAGCGGCTTTTGCACGGGTCCTGCCAAGGTTGTTACAGGGCTCCCGGCTCCCTATAAGGGCTTGATGAAGTAGGGTTTGTCCATCGCAGTAAGGAAAGCAAGGGTTGAGAAGTCATGCCGTTCGACCTGCAGAGAGAGAACCAGGCTGCTCAGCGGTACACTTTTTTACTTTCAGGTTTCTGGGTTCCTGTTACAAAATAAGAGGCCTAACAAGTATATGTTTTCCAGTGGGTTAATGAACAGCCTACAGAATCTATGGATGGCTTTCCTGGTTGTCAAGGTTCGCTATGTTGCGGGATACAGAAGACGTCGCCGACGAATGACATAGACGCCAGATTCAGGGTCTCGCATATTACATAAGTATCTGTATATGTATATGTGTATCTATGTGTATATGTATGCTTATGTGTATGTGTATATGTAGATGTATATGTATATGAGGACATAGGGCATAGGGTTGATGGCTCGAGATAAGGAGGGATTCTATGCAAAATCAGGGATCATCGTATGTCCCTGAAGGTTTACAGTACCCTAAACCCTAAACCTCACAATTTCTTGACGGACCACGCCATGACATTTGGGGATTGGCCCGCTGATGACTACTCTGGCGAAAGCAAATGGTGTGGCAGCCACTGGTGTATCCAGGCGAAGGTGTTCACAGAGGAGCACGGCAAGGAGGCCGTTGCTGCCGCAGGAGGGCTCTCCACCCCATACCGAATCGTATGGGGGTGGGGAGCCCCTTCTGCCCTACCCTTCGGACCAGGACGACGGCGCTGTGTTCGGGCCGGCGGCTGCAGCAAGGCCACAACCCAAGCCCCTGACTCGCGGTTTCCGACTACGCAGTATGAACCTAGTACCCACTCCATCGGTTCCAAGTGTACAGCCCCTTGCCCATAGCCGACGTACGGCCAAGAACAAGAGCAACGCACTACTTTCTAGTAGTAGAGTAGGCAACCTTTAACCTTTTTTTGGGCTATATGATCCCTATATTCCCAAAAAGGTTAAGCTTTAGTTCCCCATGATACCCGACACGTAGGGCCAATAACAAGAAAATGCACTACTTTGAGAGGCATCAGTCCTCTGACTTGCAACATGCTGGACATGAAAGGGCTCGGCGTTTGGGGTTTGTAGCTCTGGCATATGGGAGTTTCCAAAAATAGGGGACCCAAATATAGCACCCTAAGTAGTAGGATCCTTAGTATAAGGACCCCAAAATACGGTACCCCTAATTTTCGGAAACTCCCATATACCGGTGTGGAAATTATTTGTCCAGGGCCTTCAAAGTTTGCCAGATCCACCACCTATTAAGCTGAAACCCGACACGTGGGAACCCAGTCTCTGCGAGCCCTGCGCCCGAAACCCAATCTCCAAACCTTCCTTAACCCCGAACCCTAAACCTTAAACCCTAAACCCTAATTAACCCTAGACCCTAAACCCTGAAACCCTCAATCCCTAAACCCTATTTTAAGAACCTTGAAACCCTGAATCCCCAGCTCATGAAGCCCAAGCCCTGAACCCAAGCCCGCTACTCCAGGAGGCGGCGGCGTTACCCGCGGATGCGCCTGGGGCCGCAAAGGCCAGTAAAGTAGGAGTTGGGGCCTAAGTGGGCTTAGAATTCAGGGTTTAGAGTCTAGTGTCTGGGGCTTAGGGTTCAGGTTTTCGGGTAGGGCAGTAGTAGGACAGTAAATAGTAAAGTGAGGTTTTGGGTTCAGAACTGTTCAGGGAACTGCTTCGGGTAAAGGCCTTTTTCAGAGTTGCCTTATGAGTTCTCGTAAGGCTTACTAGAAAGGCTTCAGAAGGCTTCTATAGTGAGTTCTATGCCCTAAGGGTCCATGTACCCATATAGAGAATACATGGGCCCCAAAGTACCTATATAGGGACTACATTAAGGCCAATGTATACTATACGGGTGGTTGCCAAAATTATGGTCCCTTTTGGGGGGTCCTTATTATGATACGGCACCTAATATTTAGGATACCCAAACAGGAGCCATAATTTTGACAACCACCCACATGAGTACATGGACCCTTAGGGATGACGGTTCTACACTCCAAGGGTAAAAGGAGGGACCCTTAATAAGGACTTCCAGGTATATACCTATAGCCATTATATACCCATGATATAGCCCATTATAGGGTAGGGGTCCCCATTAAGGGTCCCTCCTTTTCCCCTTTGATACACAAGATGCTGCGTTTGGAGTTTCCGGCCTTCAGGGGTTATGGGGTTGCAGGTCTCGGGTCGAGGATATCCGTTTCAGGTTTAGGGTTTAGGGTTTAGGGGTTTAGGGTTTAGGGTTTAGGGGTTTTAGGGGTTTAGGGTTTAGGGTTTAGGGGTTTTAGGGGTTAGGGTTTAGGGTTTAGGGGTTTAAATTAGGGTTTAGGCAGTTCGGGTTAAGAGCTGTGCCTTAGTTCAAAGGTTCAAGCTTCAGGGGTTTTGGCGTCGAGAACATCGCATGGTACCTGATCCTGCGCATGTGGGTGGTTGTCAAAATTAGGGTCCGTTTTGGGGTCCCTAATATAATACGGCACCTAATATTTAGGGTACCTAAAGAGGGACGAGTATTTTGACAACCACCCAAATGTGTACTTCAAGTCAGGCTGGTCTAAGACCTAAATGGGCCCTATAAAACCTTCCTGCTTAGGGTTCCCGAGCATGGCTTCCTTATATGATATGTCCTGAAAAAGGTAGGTGATTTGGTGTCCAGGTAAGACTTACACTAGCTGCCTTCAAGACAAGTTGAAGGTGTCAGATCATCCGGATGCCTAAACCTCAGGGTTTGTTTTTTGGGGGTTAAGGGTTTAGGGTATGAGTCTAGGTTGTGGGTGTCAGAGTGAGTTTTGAGCCCTAGCCCTAAGGCTCAACATAGACCAATATCCTTGTATAGGTATGGTCCTTGTGCCCACGAAAGCCTGAACATATGAGCCCTTAGAGCCTAAAACCCTGAACCCATTTGAGTCCTTAGAGCCTATAACATCTTCAACCTTAGCCGCAGGCGCTTCCTGCCCTCCTCGCAGCGGCAGACAGCCTGGATGGCGAAGAAGGCCGGTCGGACGGTTAAAGGCTGGAGCTTTTAAAGGAACTCTTAAAGAAACCCATTAAGGAACTCTTACAGGAATTCTTAAAAGGAACCCATTAAGGAACTCTTAAAGGAAGCCTTGAAGGAACCCAAGTGAAGGAGACCTGAAAGGAACCCAATTGAAGGAAACCTGAAAGGAAGCCCTTGTAGGAACTCTTAAAGGAACTTCAACGGAGCCCTACAAGGACTCCATTAAAGGAACCTTAAAGGAGCCCTTGTAGGAACCCCTTGAAAGAACTCTTGAAGGAACCTCAACAGGAGCCCTAGAAGGACGGACCATGGAAGGCTCGAGGCTGCCTACAGTCTCCATGGTCGGTCCCCTTTCTTTGGTTTAACCCAATACCAAAAAGGGAGCCCTGTTTATTCCTAGGTTACTAGGCATCCTAGGAAAAGGAGCACAGCTTCTTTTTTCGCAGCTTCCGATTTATAGTAGAAGCCCAAAAGTTGGAAACCCAATAGCCTCGATCCTTAAGAGCATTTTATAGGGAATCCCAGCACTATTTGGCCTTAATCTGGTTTCCAACTTTATGGGGTTTACTGTAGATGGTAGGATCCTAACCGTAAAATGGGTCATCCCAGAAAAGGTAACTACAATGGAGACTATAGGTTATAGGTGAAGCTTATGGGCTTATGGGGGTCGAAGGTGCGGGTTTGATGCGGAGGAGGTTCTAGTTTTTGCGCGGCTTATGCGATTGTGTGAACATGTCACGCTATCACGGTGTCTCTCTCTGTGTGTATGCGTGGGTGCGCAGGCATGCATACAATTATGTATATATTGTATGTATATATATATATATATATATCTACACATATACATATATATATATATATATATAGAGAGAGAGAGAGAGAGAGAGAGGGGGAGAGTTTGTGTTGTGTGTGGGTGTCTGCTATTGCAAAACATGTACATGCGCATAATTACTATGTGACAGTAGTTGCTACAGCTGGGATTTACGGTCGCTTTGTCTGGACTTCGGGTTTGGGCGACAAGGGATGGTTGGCTGTTTGAGGTCTTACAAATGCTCCGGGCACGCCCATTCCACCATAAATTCCAGGTTTTGGCGCTCTAAGAACATGATGAATCGCACAGACGCCTGGGGCTGAGGTGTAAGGAAGAAAACCCCAACTAAACTCTAAACCTTAAACCCTAAACCCTACATCGAATGAGTGTTGTGTCTGGTGGTAGATGTTGCCGTCCTTATGATGCAGGAATTGCTTTGCCAACCTACCAAAACCAACTTTTTTGTAGGGTCCCTGCAAATTCCATGTTAGGGAAAGCCGATATTCCTTTCGAAAACCAATGGTTGCGGAACCGCATGGTAACTTAAGAGATTTCTTTCGCAAGGCGCTTTGTGGTGTTGGGGCCGGCTACTTGGAGGTTCTGAGGTTCATGGGTAGTTATAAGTAGGGTCATAAGTCCCCTCATATGGATTATAAGTATAGATACCCTAATTACTTACAACCCTATACTTATAACTACCCATGAACCTCCAAGTAGGCGTTCGAGTTATGGAGTGTGGCTGCTGTTGTGTGTTCTTTTTGATTCTGGGGCTTCGAGAGTGCAGTGGGTCATGAACTGGACTGATTCCCCTTTCAGCCCTTAACCCTGAAACTGCAACTATGTAAAGTGAACCCCAAAAAGTTGGAACATGGATTTAGGATGATTAGTGCTGGGATCCCCGATACTGTACCTTAAGGGCATGAGGATAATGATGTTCCAACTTTCTGGCTTCTACTATATACTCTCAAGGTGCTGTCGCAGTTAGGGACCATTAGAGACCCCAATGGCGCAGGAGCTGGCAAGAAGACGGGCGTGCTAGCCGTGCCCCTTATCCGCAACGCAGCTTTGGGGATTCTCAACCCTCAAACCCTCAACCCTGGCGAAGGGGTAGCTACTTGGGGGCTGCTTTCCCTAGTACGTTCTCTCCGGGGGTCTTTCTCCTAAACTTATCTCTTCGAAGCACGCATCAGTGCCAACAGAGGCGAACACCCCAAATCACATCAATGCTACTTGTAGCAGCCAAAGCCCCAGTAGGAAGAAGTTTTCAGAACTTGCCGAAGCCGAGAAGCCGAAGGAACTGAAGAATGAGCTGCTCAATACAGAACTCTCCCCTGCCTCATCCGGCTCGGCACGGTGTGCTTAGCATTGACATATCACCACTGCTTCAGGGGCTCATTGGCACATTACAGGGCTGCACTGCAGCCAGCATCTGGGCAGGTTTGGCAACCAAGCCTGATAAAGAGGTCGGGGTAAACAGCATTTAGATTCCCCTACAGTCCTTTATCTATATATATATATATAGTAGCTGTACTACGCTGTGACATTTTACAGCATTGCAACTATTGGCGAACTAAGGCGTGCAACGTAATGGTCTTGCCTTGGACAGCACCTCAAGCCCTAAACGTAAATTTCAATCATCTAAACCCTGATGCCGCAGGGAGATGTTAAAGGGGGCTGAACCGGAAGGACCAAATGACCCTTAAAAGTAGGGGCCCTATACCCATATACTGTGAATCCCTATATGGTATATGAACCTTAAACCCTTTTAGGGTTCATTTCGTCCTTAAGGAATTGGCTCGCCTTCCTTAGGCGTGCGTAGGCCGAACTTCGTGCAGACGCAAAAGAGCTCGCAAAAGAAAAAACCTAAGGGTAAAAGGAGGGACCCTTAATAAGGACCCTTAGGTATATACCCTTAATACCCATTATATAGCCCATTATAGGGTAATCCCAATTCCAGCTTCTTTGAGGTCGTGGCTCCTGCGGTGTCGCCGGCAAGATGTTTCTTCCGATTGCGGAGGGGGGAATCTCAGGGTGCGGAGTTTTTCGGATTTGCAGTGTAGGGCTCCGACTGTTGCTGTAGGGTTTATGGTTATCTGCGGGTTTGATTTCATCAACAAGGCTTGAAGGTAAAATAGACCCTACACCCGAATGGACACGGTGTCAGTACGGAGCTGAGCATCAGATTCGGGATTTGGATGGCTCGCTACTCCAAAACCCCAAATCCCACTTAGATCCTAAAGCCTTCCAAATCGACTTCTGTCGTATACGTACACTATACTACGAAATTCTTAGTATGTATTTCCCTCAGGAAACCTTGCGACCAGCGTATCACCGCGCTGCCTGGAGTTTCAGCTGTGCATTTTATGCTCGGCGGCCCCAAAAGGGACCGTGTGGACTGGTGACTGAGCTTACTTCTCAGCAGCGGCGGCTGCAGCAAGATCACCCTGATCTGGTGCGCTCGTTCGCAGTGACTGAGTACAAGGGGGATTGGAAATTCCACGTAGAATGCTTGCAATTGACAAGAACGTGGAAATGCGGGCGTATCTGCCACCGCTGCCCTGCCGCACGGATTCCGAGGTGGCATGGTCGAAAAGATTACTCCAGGGAGTTATAAAGTGGTGTGTTGCCATTTCTCGCAGGTTCGGCCCTTTAGTGGTAAAATTCATTATATGCAATATATATATATATATACACACACACATAGAATTAGTTATACAGACATAGATGAAGATATAGAAATAGATCCTCTTGGCGTGCGATCCAGCTCAAGGTCCGGATGAAGAAATCTTGGCAGTGAGCTCTATAGCAACCCATAGATTTTGTCATTGAGCCCTACTATAGGGGTTGGATTAGTTTATTCCCAGGGTTCCGGATTTCAACAAAAGAATCATAGTACAAAGCTCCCGCAAAACCCTACCTTAATTACCAGGGCTCCTATACTAAAGCCTTCCTTAGCAAGAGCGGTACATGCCCACGCCAGGCGGCTGCCACTGCAGCTTTCGCGAGATTTCTTGCTGCTTTATGCATCCTGCTTGCACAGAACGAGGGGGGAGATCACGAGAAGGGAGAAGATCTGAGAGACGTCGTACACTAAACCCTAAACCCTAAACCCTAAACCTAAACCCTAAGATTTCAATTCCAACCCCCAATAGCCCAAAGCAATATCGTCGCAGCCCTCAGCCCTCAACACTCCTCGGGGCTTGAGGGACAAAAAGGGGATCCTGCCTAAGGGCTCAAGGGACGTAAAGTAAGTAGGGTTAAGGATTCAGAGTAGGGTTCCTCACTATATCCTGACTTCTGGCCTTACCTAAACCCTAAACCCTAAACCCTAAACCTTACTAAGTCCCGTGAGCCTTTAAGTTGGGTCATGTTGAGAGGGCTGCTGGGTCCTGTGACACCTCTTGGCTTGAAACCGAGGTCCTTTTGGGTTTCCGGTTCAGGTTTTCTATATATGGGAGTTTCCGAAAATTAGGGGTACCTTAGGGTTCCTTTAAAGGGTTACTATAAGGGTTCCTTAAAGGGATCTAGATGAGTTCTATAAAGGGTTTAGGGTCTAGAGTTTCCGAAAATTAGGGGGTACCATGTTTTGGGGTCCTTATAATAAGGATCCTACTATTTAAGGTACTATATTAGGGTCCCCTATTTTTGGAAACTACCATATATGTGTTTCTGGAATGTAAGAGTTTAGGATCTCTTAGGATGCGGAGGTATAGGGTTTAAGCGGCTTACGGTTTAGGGCACAGGGGTTTTGGGTGTGCAATCGGGGCATTGGGTCGCTTTGGCCTTTAGTGAGCATCAGCTTTCGTTGAGGCTACAAAAGGATCATTCAAACTCGAGTTTCGAAAGCATGGCTCTGCAAAACATAGCAATGTTATTCCCTAATCCCTTGTAGTATAGCATGCCCCCGCCCCCCCTTACTAGGTGTTAAGTTCGAGCCGTCCGTCGAAGATTGTATTGCTTCGTCCGAGGTTCCACGTTGGGTTTTATGGGTTTAGGGTTCAAGGCCATGGGTTCCAAGGCTAGGCTTTGACGGCTTTGAGTTGACAAGAGGGTTTTGGGGTTCAGGTCTGGCTTCAGGCTTTCCAATGTTTCTATGTGGGAGTTTCCGAGAAGATGGGATCCTGGTACCCTGAATAGTAGGATCCTTATTACAAGGACCCCAGAATAAGGTCCCCCCTCTATTTCCGGAAACTCCCATGTAAAGTTTCTGTTTTGGTTTCCCGAGGTCCTGAATACCCAGACTGCCGGGAGGATCTAGAAAGTAGATCCCCTAATTTGGGGCCCTATACTGCTAAGGGCACTTTATAGGAACCCAATGGGATCTACTTGTTGGATCCTCCCGGGGGTCTAGGATATGGGAGTTTCCGAAATAAGTGGACCCTAATATAGTATAGTACCCTAAGTAGTAGGATCCTTATTGTAATATGGACCCCAAAATAAGGTGCCCCGGTATGTAAATGCCCGGACCTCTTGGAGCTTACCTGGACCCCAAAAGTGTGCAAAATTCTCCTTATGTACACAGCAAAGTTTCGGGTTTAATAGGGTTTATAGGGTTTAGGGTGTGGAATAGTAGCCTTTTATAGGTTTTCGGCCATGATTTTGCTTGATTTTGGGGGGTTTAGGTAGGCCTTATATAGACTTTAAAGCCCTTGACCCAAAAGCCCCCCCCAAAAAACGCCTTGAAGTTGATTCCCGAAACAGAACCTTGAATCCTCCATACCTTACCCCAAGCCACACCCCAAAGCCTAAACCGGTAAAGATCTCAACGCCAAACCCCGAACTTTGCGCTACGCCCTGTATCCCAAGAACTGAACCCCAAACTCGAAAGGCTAAAGTTTCAATTGACTGAGGAGCTTCTGACAGGTTCACGTTCGGCGGAGTCCTCGGTCATAAGCTTTAGGGTTTGAGGCCGTTTCGTTTGAGGTTTAGGGCTTCAGGTTGAGAGCGGTTTGGGATTGACGGTGTCGGGTTTCGGGTTTAGGATTTTAGGTCTGAGGGTTTGGGGTTTGGGCTTGGATTTTTGGTTTAAGGTTTGTGGGTTTCTGAATTCAGGTTTAGGGTTTGGCTTAGTGAGGTCCTGATTCAGTTGCTTTGTTCTAGGATTCGTTTGGGGTTGTGGAGTTGTTGGCTGCAGCATTTCACCGTAGGAATGCGGCGCCAAACTTTTTAGCCGTGGTTTGCCCTAACCTTTCAGGCTTGCAGCGGCTTGCAGTGTCAGTGTCAGTTGGGACCTGCCGTTCGGGCTGAGCTGAAACTGTCACGGGGGGAGGCTTAAACGGTAATTTCTGGATTTCGGGGTCTGCGAAGACAGCCGATTGCATTGCAGACTCCTCTCCCGATGTAAGATTGCCTAAGAGGATTCTTATGGCAGATAAGGACCATAAGGGCCACCAAAAAAGGAAGGCCTTTACTTTTTCTGATACCCCCCAATATTCTCCATGTTTCCCTATTATAGCACCTTCCCCCCTGCCCCACAAAGCAATTCGCAAAAGTATTCAGAGTAAGCCTTGAGGTTTTAGTTTTGAGGAGCTGAGAAGGCAGGGATCAGCGTCGAGTCACTGGGCGACAAAGACACGTGTCACGTGCAATACCATGCTGTTGTTGTTGTTGTTGTTGTTGTTGTTGTTGTTGTTGTTGTTGTTGTTGTTGTTGTTGTTGTTGTTGTTGTTAAGCCTCTCGGCTCAGGAAAGGTCAGGCTAGTACAGTTGCCTTTTTCCTTTCTTGCCATGGCATTTGTCAGCGCCTGAGCAGTCCCGGTCCCAAGTCCGGGAGGGAGTATTAGATTTACAGCTCTCTAACATCTCCCAGAGGTGAGGGTTGTCGGTATTGCGAAGCCGACAGGAGCCGTACTCAACATGAGTGCTGCGAAACAGCCTAGTGGTTCGACCAAGCATCAGCCCGTTCCTAAAGGGAAGGGTAAACGCTCTTATCAAAGGGCAGCACGTAAAGCTCTGCTTGAAGGTAGTGCGGTCTACAAGGGAAGGACGATGTCGTCAACAGAGCTTGGAGTTGCTCCGGCACATGTAAAGCCCACCAATCCCGG